ACGCGCACAATACACGTCCAACGACTATACCCTATCCTATAACACCGCCACATCACGATGGCGACACCTTCACCGCAGACCTGGACGCTTCGTCTCAAGGCCCACAAGACAACCGTCATCCTACACGTCGATCCTCTACACACCTTCGACACGATCAAAACATACCTGTACGACGCTCTACAAGAAACCGACTTCAAGAACCCCGAAACCGGCGAGTCGATACCACTACCTCCATCCGCGTCAGACATCCAGCTCGGTCGGCCAGTAAACATCAACGACGCGAACGAGGGTTTCGAATTAGGAGAGTGGGAATATACTATTGGCGAAGAGGAAGAGGAGAGTGGCAAGGGTAAAGGCAAGGCGAAAGCCAGTGGGAGCGCCAACGGTGGAGCGAAGGCAGGCACAGCGAACGTCAAGCAATGTCCTAAGGGGGCTGGGCTGAAGGACGGCGCTGTTTTAGCCTTCCGGTGGCCCGGCGACGGCAACTGGGATGGTGAAGATGAGCTCGACGTTGATGATGGACGGCCTGGAAAGGCTGGAGATATGTGGGGAGTCAAGCTGGCGAGCTTCGAAGATGCGTACGGTGTTGAGAATGAGATGGATGTGGGTGGTAGACCGGAATTTGAAGGCTGATCGGACATGCATGTGCAACAGAAATGCGCACCCTTGAGACCATTATGCGAAGTAAGGGAAACTGTCGCAATATGGACAATTCCAGCTTGCGCACACATACATGATAACGCTCGCTATATGCTGTAAGCCGGTCTGTGTTGTATCGAATCAAAGCATCGCTGACGTCTGTCTAGTGATCTCATGGGATCGTAGAGCCTATCATGGCTACCTTCAGCCTCGTAGACACCGGTCAGGTTTTGGCCAGCATAGCCCCTCTCCCCCGCTTGGCGGTCCGTCCCTTGCAACGATGCGCCTGCTCTTTTTGCAACACTTCCTTTCCTCTTTCTACCTGATCACAGCTCATTCCGTCTTCCTTTGTCAGTATGGGCACTGCAATACACCTCACACCAGCACCAGAGTGCGACGCCGTCTTCAGACATCAGCCTCTTGATCACTCTGAGCCCTCAATCCGACTTGTTCACATCCTTCCCGCCCTTTCGCACGATGGCCGAGTTCAATGTTCCATTATACATACCAACGTTCAGGCCGCATACGTCTGCCTCTCCTACCGTTGGGGCGATCCCGATCCATCGCGTGACATCATGATGGACGGCAAGTCGTTCTCAGTCGGTCAAAATCTCTTCGGTTTCCTGAGTGCTGCACGCGAAAGAGTGGCATCCGGTACCGCTACTGCTGATATCGGGCCATACTGGATAGATGCCGTGTGTATCGACCAGTCCAATGTTCTTGAGCTCAATCACCAGGTTCTCCAAATGGGGATGATATATAGAAACGCTTTAGAGACCATATTGTGGCCTGGTTCAATGCCGTCGGAACTCCTCCCCTTTGTGTCACTTTTCTTGAGGGGCGGTAGTGATACCATTGGCAAGGTCAAAGCCGCGTACTTGTGTCGCAAAGACTTTGCCGAATTCATCCTACACAACAAGTATTGGACTCGTGCATGGATCGTGCAAGAAATAATGCTTGCCCAGCGAGTGACTATATGGATAGGCGCGGCGTCTATTGACCTCAAGAGCATGGAACAGATGTTAGCCAGAGTGAACATACGATGCGAATTATATCCCCACTTTGCTCGGCTCCTCCACGCGCACACTCGGCGGGAACAGTTCCAGGACAAATCTTTGATCCATCTATTGGACCACTATCGGGAGAAGCAGTGCTTGGATTCGCGCGATCGTGTTTACTCACTTCTTTCTCTGGCTAGCTGCAATGGCAGCAACCTGGAAGTCGATTACCACATCTCCAGAGTTGAATTGGCAGCAGAAGTATTGCAAAGATGTGAGGGTACACTATGTATCTGCACAGCTATACTAGTAGCACAAACCCTCGAGTTGGGGGCCGCAGATTTCCTTGGATCGCAGCCTTGTTTTCGCTCATCACCATGTCTGGAGTTCTGCGTAATCCTCACGGAGCCGATCAAGCCCCTCAAGCCCTTCAAGCTATTCCAAAATCTCGGAACGCCAGACAAACCCATATCCCCAGGCTTCACTTTCCTAGACACCTGCAATTCTGCGCATCTATACTACTCCAAACTCATGTTTAGTCTGAACGCTGTCTCAAGAGGGCAGGGACTATGTTGCGACAACACGGGCCTTGCAGAACAAACAGTGTTACAAGAACATGGTGTTGAGTTCAACTCAGTCGAGGGGTTGGAACACGTTTATGTTGTGCGAGTACCACTTCTCCTCCTTGCGATTCTGATGGACAAACCTCTGAAAATTTGTGAACAAGCAAAAAGGCAAGTGTGTAAGAGAAAGGGGCTACCCGTTGGTTTTCCGCGAATATTAGCTTCTCGTCCTTCCATGCCACAGCTACAGACAATCCACCCATCACTTCTGAGGAGCGGGAAGCCAGAACACCTCTTCGAAAAGGAGGACCATACAAAATGGAAGCGAGAAAAGGTACTCCCTAAACGAGAGAGCTGGCACCCTTCCAGACGACCGAGAGCACGCGCTTCAGACGGCATCCAGAAGAGACGGCATGGTCGTCAAGCAAAAAGCATAGCGACCACGAGGGGGTTTGAGACGATACATCTGAAGCATAAGGCACATACACACAACACTAAAGAGCGGATGAGGCTCTTGACAGGCTTCCAGGAAATGATGATAAAGAACGGGAAATGGAGGGTCTTGTAACGAGAGTCTCAACTAATCGTATGCCAAGCAATCTCTGCTGAGCCTTCCATTAATATGGTAGTCCTGCAATCACTAAACAAATATTGCCGCTGGTTCGAGCTCATGAAACTTCCGTTATGGAATGAGTGTGTCGAAGGTACATGTGCTAAATGCCACAACTGTACATGAAAGCAGAACTCCAGGATGGATTACAACCATTAGAGGAATCGAACCGCCAGCGGCCCATCCGCTTTAGTCCTTCAACCTTCGTTCTCGTTGCCTCACATTGATATGTTGAATCCTTTATGTGAGTCCTGGTACCTGGATCTAGAGCCGTCATACTGTGACTGACCAGCTATTTAAGCCATTCGACAGTGCAAGATGCTGAGGTACATATAGGATATTGATTTTCCAAAGGAGTGTGTTACAATTGTATATTACAAGCCAAGAAAAGTGACTAGTGCCATGCTTAAGAAGCATCCAGCAACCATTAAAAGAAAGGATCCGCCAGCGGATCCGAGTGCCATAATCCTTCAGCCTTCGTTCTCGTTGACCCATACTGGTATGTTGGATACTTGGTGTAAGTCCTGCATCTCGCGTTAGTGGAATTCCGTGTAGCTGAAGATTTGAGGCGAAGAACTGGGATAATACATACGCAGATATTGTAGGTTAAAGCGTGGGTTATGGCGTGCTAAGAGGAAGAGGTCGCCTGAGTTGAAGCACCACCCTGGGAAGAGCCGTCGCCCTGACCAGCTCCTCGACGATCTTGAGAGTCCTTCCCGGCTTGTTCAGCTAATTCTCGCATCTCTCGTTCTTTCTTGAGCCTTGCTCTTTTCTTCTCGGTACTTTCTACTGCGCCCTTCATCATATCTAAATCGACATCTCTCGGTATCTTGAGGTCTCCGCCACTGTCGGTCATGGTGGTTTCTTGAGGTTTGTTAATCTTGATGGACGTAGTTTTGAAGTAGCTTTGTAGGGATAGCAATGTGATTTCGGTTCTTGATGGATTCTTCCTCAGAACAGTGAAGGCTTTATACAACTTTGATATCTTTACAGTCATCCTGTATGACTGATGGATCCTTTTCTGAGTCTTTCTTTTTCGACCATCAGTGCACTGCGGTATGGTAACAAGAGTGTCAGACAGTAACACATGGCTCACACCCCAATACTCACAGCGACCGTGTGTCTACTTTCCAAGATTGGTAACAATCGTCATTTATTCTGCGCACCACAGGGAATATGCTCATCAAGTCACCGTCGAGGCATTCTCTGCTTCACAATCGAACGATTAAGCTTCTCATCGGCGCATAGGTAGGTTATCGTCCCGGTCTATACGCTTACCGATAGTCAAGTGCTGTTTTACTTCATTGTGCATTATATTACCTCGAATCCACCCGGGGTTTTGCTAAGAGGCAACCTGAGCGCTGGAATCTGTACATAACCGAGCGTTCGGGCGTTAGACTTCAGCTTTTGGTAATTGACACAGCATATCTGAGCCGTTGGCGTGTCTGTGGCCACTTCGGCGTTACTCTCGGAGCGGGAAAGTGTTGGATATGACAGCGTGGTGACAGTGCGGCAGTCTACCCACTCATCATTGCCCGGGTGCTCGCTACAATGATTGCAAGTTTGAGTACCAACAATAGCTAGCTATGACTTGTCTTTCGTTGTTGGATAACTCTAAAATGCTTAAACATCGAGTAGCCCAGTGAGGATTGATCAGAGACTGCCCCGGTAAGACTTCACCGGGTTGGCTTCTCCTGTCATTCAGTCAGCGAGCTGGATCGTGAGCCCTGCATAACGGTTATGACCGTTTATCTCACTTAGCCTCCTCGATTTAAAGTATGTCGTTACCGTGTGATCAAATTATTTCTTGTTCTATTGTTTCTGACGAAGTGTTTTTCTTTTTACCTAATGCGAACAATACAGTGCAATTCTCAAGCCAAGTAATAGCTATTTTGAAGTGATATTAAGAAGTTACCGACGCTAATGGAGAAGTCTGGTGACTCCATGTTGCGTCAAGATGTGACTGTAATGCCAGTAGCGTCTACCGTGCCGCAATGTCGCATGATCTAGGAGTACGCTATGTCTGGAGAAGATTAGCTTTTGGACGTGTCCGAGTCGGCCCGATCTAAGGTCTCGGACTTCTGTACAGACTCCTACCCTATTTAAAGCCCAAGCTACAACACCATTTACACAAGCATATGTCAAAGCCATATCTTTCTCGCCTTATTTGCAACTACCCCATCCGCAAACATGATGTTGTACGACGAACTAGCCCAGCAAGATGAAGAGCTGATACATGAGACGTGGAAGAACAGACTTGACGCAGCGCAGAAAGAGATTGTTGACTTCGTCATCAAGCGAGTGGGAAGTTGTGTCGCTGGAGAGTTCGGTGGCTACCTTGAAGGGTCCTACAACGTCTGCCTAGTCATCAAGCTCAACACAAAGCCTACGTATCTGATACGCTTCCCACAGCCAGGGACAACTGCTGCACGTTTCTTAGATGAGAAAGTTCGAAACGAAGTCCAAGTCATGGACTTACTACGCAGGACCACGATCCCGCTACCGAAAGTATACAAATGGGGTCTGACTAGCGATAGCCCGTCACAGCTTGGCCCGTATATTATAATGGAGTATGTTGAAGGCATACCATTGATCAACGAGTTACGACGACCCATAAAGACCGATGACGGTGTCGAGATGGAACTCTGGAGAAACTTGGGCAACCCAAGAGTTCTCCGTGCCTACAGCCAAATATGTGACTATATGTTGCAAATACATCAGCTGGATTTCAGTACTGCAGGTGCTATAAGAAGGAGCAACCCAGATGAGTGGGTAGCTAGCGAACGACCTGTCACCGATAACATGAACATTTTAGCAAGGAACATTCTGAATTACCCAACCGAATACTTCCCTACTGCAAGCATCTCATCTCCAAAGGCCTACTTTGAGCAGCTCGCCGATCAACACCTAGCTCATCTTCATACCCAAAGAAACGCCGTGGAGAACCGTGAAGACGCTAGAAGATGTTTCATCGCTCGCCATCGCCTCAAACAATCTATTAACGAGTACCTGTCTACCGACACCGAAACGAGTCCTTTCAAGCTATACTGCTGGGATCTTCGCCCATCGAACATGCTCGTAGACGACGATCTAAACGTCAAAGCCGTACTGGACTTCGAATTCTGTAACGCGCTGCCCGCGCAATTCGCCCATGACCCACCGTGGTGGCTTACTATCTTGCGACCAACCACGTGGATCGACAATGACTTCTATTTTGGTGCTCTGAAAGACAGACTTGAGCCTCACATTGAACAATTCCTGCAGGTAATGGAGAAGAAAGAGAGGGAGATGGGTGGAACTGTAGTACCACTGTCCGCTCGTATGCGCGATTCGTGGACTTCCAACAGATTTTGGTTCAATATCGCGAAAAATAGCTGGAGCATTGATGCTGTGTATTGGGCTGCGCTACATAAGCCGGGTGATGAGGTACTGGATGATGATCTTAAGGCCGAGATGGAGGTGTTTGTGGAGATGAAAATGGAGCAACTGGATGCATATAAGGCTGAATGTAAGGCACGTGGTATTTGAGATCGAGAGAGTATGCCGGGGTGCTTCACTTTGCCGAGTTCAATGTAACCGATACAACTAGGCTCTTCGTTAGTCTCATCGTCTAGAATTCGATACCCCGCATCCCAGCTTCTATCAAACGTGCTGTTTAAATTTAAGGTGCGGGCCGAGAAGCGTTCTGAAGTCCCCATGATCATTCTGTTACACTAATTATCGTAACTACCTAGGTAGGTTAGCATGTTTCCTGTCATCCCGACAGCGAGCCAATGGCTGAGTCAACGATTTTGAGAACTACGATGGATGCGGAAAGCGACCGAAGCGCTTTACATTGTTCAGTAATAGTTGGTGTAAGAAACGGACGCACTATAGTAGTTGGTGCCCGGAGCGGGTCGATGCATCTGACGGACAATGTTCCACGAATCTGGGGTACGGTACTTGGGGTGTACATGGGTGTGTGCCGGACATGCTAATGCTATGCGGCTCGCGAAACTTGTGGAAGCAATTAAGCGGACTTCGTTGTTTTTCTTGGGGCCTGTCCATGTGGTCACTCAAGCACTCCAGGGTACCTACATGCCGACTTCAAACCAATGAAGTTCGATAGAAGCCCAAACTATGTGCATGCCGGGAGACTACCTACAACCGAGAACAAGAGATCGTCGCGTCCACGGAGGCCATCGAAGATCCGCTGATCATGCGATGTTGGATGAGAAACATGTATATAGCCAGGAAAGATGAACTTCCAGATGCCCTTCACTAGGTCAGTCAATCGCTCAAGAGTCGATCTCTACAACTTCTTTTCTCCCCAAGAGCTTTCGAGACGACAGATCTATCGACCATGTTGTCCAAGATTGCATCTCTCCTCGCTCTTGTGGCCAGTGCAAATGCACACGGCTATCTCTCTTCTCCTATGAGCAGGACTGGTCTGAATGCTCAGGTAAGTTATGGCGTCCAGTTGGGGATATCAGAGGTATACCCCGTCCCGTCGTTAACACGTCACAGTCTGGCGCTGATACATGCCCGGAATGTACCATCCTCGAACCTGTTGCAGCGTGGCCTGACCTCGACGCGGCAGCGGTGGGTCGTTCAGGCCCTTGCGGCTACAACGCCCGCGTATCCGTCGACTACAACCAGCCCGGTCCTCGCTGGGGTTCGCAACCTGTCATCACCTACAAATCTGGTGATGTCGTCGATGTACAATGGTGCCTCGATGCCAACGGTGACCATGGTGGCATGTTCAGCTACCGCATTTGCCAAAATCAGGCTCTCGTCGACAAACTTCTCACGCCTGGGTACCTTCCTACAGAGGCGGAGAAACAGGCTGCTGAAGACTGCTTCGAGGCTGGTGAGCTGAAGTGCACTGATGTTGCTGGGCAGACGTGCGGTTACAACTCTGACTGCCAAGAGGGTCAACCTTGCTGGAGGAATGACTGGTTCACATGTGAGTACATCTCCATATTCGGGATAGTAACGCAACACTGACCGTGAGTAGGCGGTGGCTTCAACGATGGCTCCAAGTGCAGGAGCGTCGACAACGCACCACTTAATTCGTGCTACACCAGCATCGCAGGCGGATACACAGTCAGCTCGAAGATCAAGATCCCCAACTACTCAAGCAACCACACGCTGCTATCGTTCAAGTGGAACTCCTTCCAAACCCCACAAGTCTACCTGACTTGCGCGGATATCAAAATCACTGGCAGTGGCTCGGGCGGCTCAACCCCACCAAGTTCGAGCAAGGCTCCCGCGTCTACAACGAAGGCGACTTCAACCTCGACGGCGGCACCTACTGGCTGCGCATCGCCTGTATCCACAGTAGCTGTGACTTTCAACTCGAAGACCACAACATCGTTCGGCCAGACTGTCAAGATCGTTGGTTCGATTGCCCAGCTCGGCAGCTGGAACGCAGCGTCTGCGCCCGCGCTATCTGCGAGCCAATACACCACCGCAAACCCGCTTTGGTCGACAAAAATCAACCTTCCGGCTGGTGTCAGCTTTGAATACAAGTTCATCAAGGTCGAGAGCAGTGGTACGGTGACCTACGAGTCAGGTGCTAACCGCGTGTATACCGTGCCGAAGGGGTGCTCGAGCGCGGCCACCGTTGCTAGCACGTGGAAGTAGGGCCGCAGGTGCTGGAGAGAGAACGAATGTTGTACGCTTTTCTGGTCGTATTAGAACGGCATAGGATATGTTGACTGTTCAATGTAGTGATTAATGCCAAACACTTGCTGCAACCCGTCACGCCCGCCGACAGCGCTTGTGATGAATGAAGATGTAGGAGCCTAAAAACGTTTCAGGTTTCATCAGAAAAATTGTAGGTTTCGGGCGCATAATGTTCTTCGTAAGGTATGAGGATTGTAGGTGTTCGCAATGGCTGGCGACTGCCACGCCGTGACGCGACATCCTGACGCGACAACACTAGACTGAAATCAGGCTAGCGCTTATTGACACCAGCCATCGACACGAAACTGCTGCCTACTCTACACTCAAACCCTCGCATTACCCTCGACCCTTGCATCTTATCTACAGCTGCCTTCCAAGCGCGTACTTTGGTATCGCAGACATACACCGTGTACAGAAGTGTTGATCGTAATGAAGACCGAATTTGACAAAATCGCGGAGGAGGCTGGGAATGCTGAGCTCGAGGCCTGGGCCGCTAAAGTAAAGGCCGCCAACGAAGAAATTGTCACTTTTGTAGGTCAGAAGCTGAGGACCAATGTTCCGGGGGAATTCGTCCGATACCTTCAAGGTTCATACAATGTCAACCTTGTCATAAGATTCGGCGAAGAAGACATCGTCATCATTCGTTTCCCGAAGCGAGGAATAACTGCTGCAAAGTTTCTCGAGGAAAAGGTCAGGAATGAAGTACGGTTTCTAGAGTATCTGGCCGAAAAGACTGCCATACCTGTCCCCAAGATACGTGACTGGGGAACGGCTAAGGAAAGTCCCTCTCAGCTTAGTCCATATATCATCATGGATTATATTGAGGGCACAGAGCTGTCGGAAATCTTGCAGCAGCTTCAAGACGACCATAAAGAAGCAGAAGTCGATCTTGTATATGAGCAGATAGCCGACTACATGCTCCAGATTTCGCGACTGCACTTTTCGGCCATTGGACCTGTCAACAAGGACACGTCGGGAGCGTGGACGGTGACTGACCGTCCCCTCACCACAAACATGAACAACCTAGCTTCTGTCGTTACAGACTACCCGGTAGATCAGTTTCCTAATGTCGCGTTCATCAGCACCCAAGCCTTCCTTCATTACCGTGCGGACGAGCATTTGCTTCATCTGCAAGTTCAGCGGAACCTTGCGCATAGTCGTCAGGACGCAGAAAAATGCTTCATCGCACGCCACAAGTTCAAAAAGCTGATTGAGAGATTTCACCCTCCATCGGAAGCCGACAACGGTCCTTTCATACCGTATTGCCATGACTTCCGTCCCAAGAACATGCTCGCTAGGTACGAGGATGGATCGTTGAAGATCGTAGCGGTTCTGGATTTTGAATTCGTCAACACCATGCCCGCTCAATTCGCTTATGACCCACCCTGGTGGCTCGCCATGGTCAGTCCTGGCCTTATGCTCGAGCAATTCACTATGGAAGACTTCGAAGCCTTATATGTACCACGCTTGGAACAATTCCTCCAAGCCATGGCGAAGATTGAGGCGGAACAGAACGCGGGACACCGGAAAGAGATAGTCTCTCTTACTATTCGCATGCGAGACTCTTGGACGTCAAAGAGGTTCTGGTTCAACTACGGTATCAGGAAAGGCTGGGATATTGACGTGGTTTATTGGAGCGCCCTTCATGAACCGGGAGATGAGAAGCTTAGCGAGGACTTGGAAAAGGAGATGAGCTCGATTGTTGGAAAGAAGATGGAGCAATTGGTGGCGTACGAAGCCGAGTGTGAGGCGCGCGGAATGTTGTCAAGCAATTGAGCCACGACAACAGCGACAGTTATTAAGCTAGGTTAAAAAGTTATTCTACTAGGTGTGTTAAGCCTAAATAAGACGAGCTAGACCTAAAGTAGATAGACTAGACCTAATATATCTAGCTTACTTTCTCTACGCGTAGAGGCCTCTTAGAAAACTAAAGTTTACCTTTTTTCTTTGTAATATTGCGCAATAATAGCGCAAGGTTTTAAAAATTCTAAAAAAGTAGAAATATAAAGAGAGTTCTCTTCTACAATTTAGGTTTTTTAGAACTTTTTATACTTTGCGCTGTTGTTGCGCAAAATTGCAAAGAAAAGGTAGAGATTCTACCTAGCCCTCAAAATTTTTAACCCAGGAGAATAACCGTCGCCACGACAACAGACCGCCGGCTATATTTCTCTTACAGCCAAAATTCATGAGCACTTTCAGACTCCACCATCCGTATTTCTGAGATACGACCTTGCACTGCATCACAAGCGTAAATACTACGAAGCATTCATTTTCGTATCGAGAAATGCGACGAGAGCGATAAGAAGCGCTCCTGTTGACGTTAGCTGCCTGCTAGCTGAATGATGCTCACGATGACTTTAACGCACCTGCTGTTACCACGTAGCTTCCAATGGTGAAGCCAGTCTGCACACTGGCTTGAACATCTGCCTTGAAATGTACAGCAGCCACGATAGACCAGACGATCGAGATTATCAGACTCAGTGCGGTCGGGAAGATAATGGCTATACTAGCGACACGTAGATCCCAGTCGCGCACAATGTTAAGTGCCTTCGCTTGTATACCAAAGAAGGGTGCGTTGACCTGGTCACATTTGGTCAAAACACCCTCTCTCAAGAGTCTTTCTCGAATGGCCGTTCCGCGCACGCTGGATGCGTCTCTGAAGTAGTGAATCTGACGATTGTACGATCCATGTCGACCTAGGTCTAACGGAAGTCCGACTGTTTTACCCACTGTGAGGCCTGATAGAAGCTGATCGTTAACCGCAATGTTAGCAAAGTAGCAGAAGATGGAAATATGGGTAGTTTCATACCTCCACTATCTCAATCTTTTGACTTGACTTTACGCCGAACAACTCAAAAAGGCCAAAATTCATCCGGCTTAAGTTGTAAAATGAACGCAGGTGCTCCAGAAAAGCTCTGTCGTGTACATTTGTAGTGGCTTGCGAGCAAGGGACTACAAGGCAATGGCCGTTATCTATGAAGACGAATACCTCCGAATCGTAGTCTGGCTGAGCGCTCCACGCTGCAGTGTAGTCATCGATAAAGTCGGTCCCATCTTTTGCGCATAGAAAATACATGATCCAAAAGAATTCCCAGGGGGGCTCCGGTCGGTCGGAGGTGACTTTAACGAAAGACCTCTAGTTTATATCAGTTAAGATTCAATTCAAGGACTAAGGCTTCATTTCACAAACCAGGACAACGCTGCGTGTGTTTGCGAAGCTCAGAAAGGTCCCCTTGCCAACTCCACATTTCGCCAAAAGTCGCGAGGAGAGTCTGATCAGTATCCAGAACCAATTGAGATAGATGGTCATCATCACCCCTCGTATGCAGATCTGAACCAAGATCCGAACGTAAAACTTCGAGCGCCATTTGTTCTTGGAGAATACGTTGACAACGCCTATGTTCCCTCGATCAATATCATGTGCGATCAGAGCTTCAGAAACGAAAGCCATCGTATGGGCTGACTTGAGTCAAGTGTGACAGAAGTCGAACGCGGGGCGACAGAGGGGACACCACCTTTATTAGGAACTTACATGAGCTGCATAATATCGCATGGATATATATCGCAGTGACAAATTCAGCTGAAGCCGAGGATGATATCCCACTAGCTGTTGGGTTGCCAAATGCGCCTTACAAGGTTCTCGTGCATCAAGACGCGAGGCTACCTCACCTTGGGTGCATTTCTTCCATTCACAGCACCTGATTCGAAGTCAGCCAGGACGCCATAGCCTTGCCCTGTGGGGAAGTCACATAGTAACTCACTGCGAACAGGTTGGAAGTGCTGATCTTTGGCTGAGATGCTGTGGTCAAACCCATGATAATCTAGCTCACCCAGGTAGCCATTTGACCCCGCTTGCGCCCTAGTTCTTGTCGCTTCCTATGGCTTCCCTAAACAGCATCAAGATGCTGAGCTTACGATAGTGGCGCATTCACAAGGCTAGCCTGGAAGCCACACGAAAGAGCTAAAGTTGAGACTTTCTTGAAAATAGTAGTAATTGCGAGCCCGATTTCCCATCCACAGATTATACAGTGCTTTGTTTAATAAGTCAGCAGTGGCATCTCAGGCGCCTACGATGGAAGGGTAATTTAACGCGATTGATTCAGCCTTCTTACTAGAATAGCATACTACCTGTCTTCGGGGCCGTGATTGTATTGCACAGATGCCGAGCAAAACGCCACCAAACGCCTCGCCATGCCGATATCCCAATAGAAAGACGACTCAAAACTGAGCTGAAAATCGTTGCGCGGGTTGATATTTTTGTGTAACCGATTTGCATGTGTCAGACTCACAGCCTTCTCCCCCTGTTGTCTTCACTAGGACTGACAGTCCCACTCCCGTTCATAGATCCATAGCCATTCGCACCTTGACTTCCACTGGCAGCTGGCATAAGCGACTCTCTTGCTTCCTCAGCCTCCTCTTCAATGTTCTCCCTTTGGATCCTATGGCTTTTTCGCCACACAAACGCCACGAGGGCTAGACCGACGAGCAGCGCCAAGCTAAGCAATATGACATTGATGGGTACAGGGTCGTTCTTAAAGGTTTTGTGTGTAGCAGCGTCGAGAGCAGATTGCGAGAAGTTGAGGACACCGGCGAGGCAGATGATGAGGCCGTAGACCTTTCCGAAGGTGGCGAAACCGAAGACTTTGGCAGAGTAGTCGCTGTTAGGGATATTAGCAAGTGATTTGAGAGCAATGAGTGGACAACTTACGATACTGCGGTGTAGTACAAGGGTCGGTAAAGCACGAAGAGGACAATATTTGCGTATGCAGCCCATGTCTCCGGAATCACGCCTAGCACACCTATTGTGGTAGCAACAGTGACGAGCAGCGCCATGGTGAAAGTAGTGCTTGTGTTGTCGAGAAGTAGACCGATGAACGGTACAGACAAAACACCACCAACTGGAAGCGCGACATCGAAGAAGTTGTTGATCTCGACCGCCTTCTCGTAGTCATGGAAAAGATACGTGTACTGCGTCCGGATCGTAGCAACAAAGTAGTTGATACGCGTCATCTGTAGCACAGTGAACAGCGTAATGAGGATGAACCAGGGAGTGCGAATCTGCTGGCTGGCGGTGCGACCGTGTAGCGCACCCCATACACCTGAAATGTTCTTCTTCTTGTCTTCCTCTTGTGCCTGCTTCTGACCATCTTTCGTGCCGAGCAAAGACGTAATTTCGCTAACAATGCTGTCGCGATGCGCTCGTCGCGCATCCTGAAGGCTTCGAACGGTTGCTGCGTCTTCAATCTCATCGTCCGAGTCGTGGATAACTTGCTCTTCCTCCGCACTAGTTACAAGTTCACCAACCGTCTTGTACGATACTGATGGCATGAACAGAATCTGAACTGCGAGGATAAACGCCGGAACGATAAGGTAGATAAGGAAGAACTTCTTGATCGAAAAGTTGCCATCGGTGCCCTGGTAGATGAGTCGGTACATCAAGAAGATCGCGCTCGAGGTATCGAAAGCTCCAGTCAAAAGCGCCAAGATAAGTCCAGAGTATTGCGGAAACGTATTGCTGAGCTGGAAGGACGAGATGAAGATAAATGGTCCACCCAGCGCCATGAACAAGTATCCAGGGATGAACGCGTCGAAAGCCAATTCCTTTGCGAATGCGAAAAGCAATGCGCCAATCGTTATAGATATCGCACCAGTTATTCCGCATACGCGTGGTCCGAAGCGATCGAGGATGGTACCGACGGGAAGCGCGACGACGTTCGTGGAGACAGCAGCGATGGTGAACATGAGGTTGAGCCGGAGCTCTTGTTCGTAGCAGACGTGTACATCTTGATCCAGCTCTTCTTTCGTGCAGTAATCTCTGTAGACGCCCTCTTCGAGAAGTACGGGTTTTATCGCGGCGTAACCGAAGACAACACCGGCGGCGAAGAGGCAGTAGATAACGGCGAAGAAGACCTGGACTACGCGATATTAGCTTGTGTGCGCCCATGCAGTGTTCCACGATACATACGCAATCTTTTCCACCTAGGTACTTCGAACGCGCCTATGGTTGGCTCTTCGCCGGTTTGCTCTGTCCAGGTGCCGACTGGGTTGAAGCTCATCTTCCGGTGCCTGGAGTCCGGGCTCGCCTCTCTACTCCACGGCTCATGCTCCTCCATCGATGTCACTCGTTGCGTGAGCGACATGTTGGGCTAATATTTCCCCCTCTTTCAAAAATATGAATAAGTCGTCTGAAGAATATGGCAAAAGTCGCAGTCTTGAAATTCTCGGCTCGCGTCCAAAGATTATCCGGGGGATGACGTCGTACCGAAGAAGCTCAGGTCCCTCAGAGAAGCAATTGGCCAACCAATCTACCTCAACAAGAACCACGATCAAAGTCCGCGGTAAGATATCCCGTGGCACTGGAAAAGATGGGAATCAGGGTTCTATATACACAAGCACGGCGTCGAATGGCGTAAAGCGGGGACTAACTGGCCTGCAGCCGGGTGCATGAAGGCGCTGACAATCCGACGCGCTGGTTCGCGCGTGATCACCAAATGCTCGGCTTTTAGGATTCCATTACGAAGTTCACCACGTGCGAGCCATTTACATCGAGGCTATGCGCTCAACTAGACGATCTGCATTGGATCTTACGGTCATCGTCCACGTTCGCGCACGTCGTGAAGTCGCGATGCTTTGGCGCTCGTTGGTGAAGCTTGCTGCTTGCGACAGCCAATGAACGCGCGAGTCAGCCGCGGACAGGGAGCTTTGATAACCGTGCAGATGGGATGGCATCAAATTTTCCTTTTTACCACCTCCGCCTGTTCGCTGAACGCCGATACACGATGGACGCCTCCTGCGGGCGTTTCCCGATGCAGTAATGTTGAAACTTGCGAGAACGAATGCGATTGCAGAGATTTCTATCGGTTTGCAAGGGGTGGAAGTATGCATCTCCGTCGGACAAGTCTAGATCTCCATGGTATATACATTGCTGTCGTTCCTATGTCCCTTGGGGCTTCCAGGATCATGCTTTCAAGATGCACTGGGTTTGGTCTGACGTGATGACTGTCAGACTGGCATGTTCAGGATCACCTGGGTACAACTCTCGGTCCCACCGGATATTGTGAATGTCCCTCAATCACCGCAATGCCGCGACTGAAGCCCTGATGGCTTTTGGACGACGGCATAATGCATCGTGTACACTAGTACGCCAAAGAACTTGTTAGTTCCTCCAAGCTTATGTACACCATACTTCCTTCCCGCTCTCCGCAAGCTGCACATTTTGGTTCAAGTGATATAGCCAATTCACCACGGCATTTTCTTCGACACCTTCAATTTTCGTATATTGCTATATCACTATGTAGCAACATAAGAACACCTCTCATATATCCCTCTGTCCCCTGCTTAGGCATGTCGATCTAGCTTCTCAGCAAGTTTCCAACTCGACCACCAAATTATCATCCCTTGAGAGCGATATTACTCTGTCCAGTCACATAACCACCCCAACCATCTCTCTGGTCTCCATCGTCATCTTCTTCTTTGCGCATGGAAACCACATGATCAAGCATTGCCAAAAGGCGGAGCGTGCGGACGGCAGCGATGTAGGACGTTAGCAACAGTGCGCATCTCGAACAAAGAAATGCGTGTTACATGACGACAGCGATGAGTAACCGATTAGGCTGCTAGTGATGGAAGCAACAGCGCTAGAAATGACTGAGTAGGATAGCACGTCAAGGAAAGATAAGCATGTGATACAAAAGTCAATGCAATTGATTTGATACAGGCGCCTAGGCCCAAAACTATCCATTAGGATTATAGACATTCAATGTCTGAAGAAGAAGACAGAAGCAAGATAAGACAACTCCAAACTCCCTCGCAATGCAGACTATTTTTATAGTTTTGACAGAAAAGATAAGGAAAGACATGAGTATAGGTGGATAGAGGGGGTGGAAGACTGGCAGAGAGCGCTCTTGACAGGACATTCCTTTTTTGCTGAGTCGTCGCGTTGGCTCGACATATTCGATAGTGGGGGTTCCTCGCGTTTAGGCGTCCTCGACGGTCTTGGCGGGCTTCTTCATGTTGTTCTTGTACCAGAGAGTGGGGAGAAGAGCGCATGAGACGGTGAAGAGTACGCTGGGTCGTGTTAGTAATGTATCAGGCATGATGCGCGGCGTCAAAACTTACCAGAGAGCAATAGCCATACCCCAGACGGTCTTGGCCTGGAAGCAGTTGCTGCGTGTGACACCGGCCCAGTGGCCCAAGCTGGAAGTGGACTTGTTGAGGTTCTCAACTGTCGCAGTAACGAAGGCGTTGGCGTACTGGGCATCGATCTCTGCGGATGACTTGCCGATGACGTAGCAGTTAAGGAACGACATGGGCTTTCCGAGAGTGACTGCGCAGACGATGAAGGCGATGAGAAGGAGAGAGTCGACACCGGTCATGACGAGGAGGCCGAGGTTGGCTTGCGACCAGTAGTAGCCTACGCTGACCATGATGTAGAGAGCAGCGATGCATGTCTAGTGATGTTAGAGGTATTCAGTCATGGCATAGGAGGTTACATACCACGCTCAGTGTGCCGACGAACTCTTTGGGTGGCTCAACACCGGTTGTGACGATCATCTGGATGAAGTTGGAACAGATGCCAATGACCAAGATCATGCAGATAGCCTGGAGAACACGGGCGCCAAGGAACATCTTGCTCAAAGGGATGGCGTTGTAGCTGGGGACAGGCATATTGGCGGATTGAAGTTGGTCGCTGTAAAGTGGATGTGGCTGAGGATGGGATATCGAAGTAGACAGACGAGGCGATTAAGGTAGCAAGGAATGGATAGCGGTCTGCACAGCAGAAGAGAGAGTGATGTTCGTAGAAATTGGAGAAAGAATGAGACCCAGATAGGAAACAAGGAAATAAGGAAACAGAGAAAAAAAGACGAAAAGGAAGTGAGTTGTGATGAGCTGGTTGATGATGTGTGTGATGAGCTACTACGACGTTGCGTCCAGCACATCTTATACAACGAAGAGTTGGTTGCGATCTCAACAACAGATCGCAAAGGGCATAGTCAAGATTGCTGCTATTCTTGCTCATGGTGTGTCTGGACCACAGTCGTTTCATGGCATCTCGAGTAGTCGCTGGAGGAGCCAATGAGAGGGCGAAGCGGCGGTATCTCATAAAATGGCCCGAGCTGCCGCACTGATGCACGTAGGCGCTTACAGCATGACGAGCCTAAACGTCAAGTCTGGGGAAGCCATTCAGGTGTGTAGAATCTGCGCGGTACCTGAAGCATGTGGAGCCACAGTTTGACGTCTAGATCGACTGGGTGAGAGGTGTCGTTGCGGGTGTTGTTCAAGCTTCCGTGGTCCCACATCGACCTCCCGCCCTACCTCGCGCGCGGGAGCTATGCTGGGAAAGTGTTGAGGCTCAATCAGATGCGAGGAAGGTGGAAACATTGTTTGAAGGAATGGTTCTGTGCTTTGGTGATGGCGTTGCTCAAGAAACGCGTACGCTGATGAGAAGACAACGCGACGCTATGCGTCAATGCTCTGCTGGCGGATTGGTGGTATCTCGTAAGCATTGGTTAGCTGATCTTTACGCACGATTCAGATGGGTGCCCGCGTCAAGAGCGTTAAGAAATGGAGACTTTGGAAGTGAGGCGTCCAGGCTGAATGAAGAGTTGTGCCGGACGGCTGTTGGACGGTTCAGTACAGCGCTCGCCGTGCCCATGGTCGAACTACGCGATGCTGCATATGTGCAAGTCGATCAAGACCATCTCGTAGTCAGGATTTCGCGAGAAGTCGCGTACGAGCATCGAGAATGGGGGTTGTTCCTCTGAGGTTGGTGAGGGAGGATGATAGGAGCTCCCCGCATCCAGCCCGGGTCAGCTCGAATGCGGCAGGTCCAGGCGACACAGCTCCCAGATAGCCAGACGCATACTCGCGGCTCTCACGCGACATGTGACTGATAACCGTTCCCGAGGGCCTTGCGGCTTCTTCTGAAGCTTTCTTTTGTGATCACTGTATCATCTTCCTAATTGTAACCTCAAGATGGGCCTCTCGGAGTACAGACAACACAAGGCCGACTGGTGAGCTGCCCCAAGCTTCCAACACCCCACACCTCGGCCAATGCCACAAGCTGACTCTCCACCACCAGCAAGCGCAAGCAGTCGGAACGCGCCTCCAAGATCGCGACACTCCCCACGCCCTACCTGTCCGCTCTATCCTCGCAAGACCGCACCATCCTCGGCAAACCCATCCAGGAGCTCGTCCAAGATGTCCACAAGCAAATCACCAGCCCCGTCGATATCCTGCGCACGTACGGCAAAGTCGCGATAAAGGCGCAGGAGAAGACGAACTGCGTGACGGAGATACTGTTCCCGGAAGCCGAAGATTGGGCGGAGAAGGAGGTCAATCTGAAGGGGCCGCTTGCCGGCATCCCCGTGTCATTGAAGGACTCTATACAAGTCAAGGGCTTTGACATCTCAGTCGGCTATTCGAGGAACACCGGGAAGCCTGCGACGGAAGATGGAGTCATGGTTAAGATATTGAAGGACGCGGGTGCCGTGCCTTTCGTCAAGACCAACCTCCCTACCACGCTCCTATCCTTCGAATCCACCAACGACGTCTGGGGCCAGTGCAAGAACCCCCACAACGACAAATACTCGCCAGGTGGCTCAACAGGTGGAGAGTCGGCACTGTTGGCCTTCGGTGGTAGTCGCATTGGCATCGGATCGGACGTAGCTGGCTCGGTCCGCGCTCCCGCACACTTCTCCGGCTGCTACTCGATACGATGCTCGACGGGACGATGGCCCAAAGTCGGCATGAACACAAGCATGTCGGGTCAGGAAGCTATACCTTCTGTCTTCAGTCCCATGGCGCGCACATTGAACGACTTGACCTACTTCACGCGAAGCTTCATCCAGATGAAGCCCTGGAAATACGACTATACCGTCCACCCGCTAGAGTGGAGAGAAGATATCGAGACTGAGTTCCGGGAGAAGCCAAAGCTCCGCATAGGCGTCATGCGAACCGACCACGTCGCAGACCCTTCACCAGCATGTGCGCGCGCACTAGACCAAACAGTCGAAGCACTCAAGGCTGAAGGTCACGAAGTCTTCGATGTCGAGCCACCTTCGCCATACGAAGCTCTGAAGCTAGCATCCCAACTCCTTCTCAGCGACGGCGGCAACACATTTATGGGCCATTTCCGCACGGGAGAGTGGAATGATCTGGGTGCAGCGCAACTGGTCTACTACATGCGCCTGCCCAAGTTCATCAAGTACGCGCACTACCTGTACGTCAAGTACGTCAAAGGCGACGACATCTGGGCTGGCTTGCTACGCGACTGGCACCCAAAGTCGGCACATGAGTACTGGCAGCTCGCTGGCAAGCGCGAGGCATACAAGCAGAATTTCTACCAATGGTGGTCTGAGGAGGCCAACATGGATGTCATGCTTACTCCACCCAATGCGACTCCTGCGGTACCTCATGGCGGCATGCATGATGCAGTCAGTAGCTGCGGTTACACTTTCATGTTCAACCTGGTGAGTCTTCTTCCCTGACACAATTATTTCTTTGCTAACGAAATCAAGCTTGACTACTCCTCTGGAATTATCCCCGTAACGCACGTCGATCCTGCCAAAGACGCCCTGCCATCCGACTTCAACATCAAGAAATTGAACGGGGTAGCACAAGGCGCATACAAGCTGTACGATGCGGAGAAGATGGCTGGTCTGCCCGTGGCTGTACAAGTTGTCGGAAGGAGACTGGAAGAGGAGAAGGTCCTTGCTATCATGGAGAGGGTGGAGGATGCATTGGATAAGCATGGTGGACGATATCAGTTACTGGAAGTGGATTGAGGATTACATCTGAATAAATTCAATCATCGCCTAGCCTTGCTAAGCACAACCCTACGTGCCAACCCGTATGTTGTAGACCCCTCCTTCAAGATCGAACACTACTCGTCCTTCTTCTTCCTTGTAATTCTCCTTACCAAGCACTCTTCCATCAACTACAATCGTCGCATTCCCACCCAACCCATCTACCGGAAGCCTCACTACACCCTTTGTCCCCACCGGCGTCTCAACCACCACTCCATATCCAACCCCACCCTTCTCCATCTCCCAACCCACCCTAAACTTCCCCAGCCCCGTCACAAAGCCCGCCTGCGCCCTCATCAAATCCCCAAACCTAGGCTCAACAACCCACTTCCTCCCCGCCGGCTCCGTGACCCTCAACCCAACCACAAACTCCGTAAGCGCAGACGTAGGCCCCGAACTCCATCCATGAGCATGGCTCACATAACTCGGATCATACCCATACCCCCTCTCCTGTCTATACCCAAACGTTCCATTCGTCCTATAACCTTCTATAACCGTGGAACCAGTACCATTACGATGGTCAGCATACCAGCCCCAACTTCTGCGGATGAGTTCGAGAGCCCGGGTTGTACCTGTCGGGTTTGTGAGAGTGAAGTGGGCTTGGATCTCGAAGCTGGAGATGAAGGGCGATATGTTGCCGGGGAGTTCGGGGGCTTCGGCGCCGATGGGCGTCCAGTTCTTTGTGAGCGCTGTGGAGATGTCTTGGGCGGTTTGGGAGGAGGGTGGGATGAGGTCGAAGAGGATGGCCATGCTGTTTGCGTCTTGAGGGTGGAGGGTGGTGAGTGTGGCGTTGTCGCGGAAGGCGCCGTAGGTGGAGTCGAAACAGTGGGTTAGGATGGCTGTTTGAAGGGCGGTGGCGCGCGACGTCCAAGTTGCTACTAAATTGTTGGAACTGCTTTCGTTGAGCCATGTAGCGAGTTTAGCACCGGTTTGCAGAGTCTGGTATAGAATGACATTTGCTTCCGTATTGTTGAAACCAGTTTGCCAGCGCGCCCAGTCCCTGGTGCCTGTTTGATTGAGGAGACCAGATGTCTCGACTTGGACTTTGGCGTATATGTACTTCATAGCTTTCTGGTACTTGGCCCAGTTCCTCTGCACAAAGGCTGCGTCGTCCGTGTATAGCATGTAGTTATATGTACCGATCATTGTCCACATATGATACGTATCGCTGTTTTGCTGTAAAAGCGGTGGGCCAGCTTCAGGGAATGAACCATCCGGATTCTGGTAGTCGAACATGACTTGCAGTGCGTTCTTAACGCTGGCGAGATCCCCGGTACTGACAAAGGTGGAGGGAACAGCAATGCCCATGTCGCCTGGCCATACCGCACGGTCTCGTTTCGCTCCATCAACGATGATGGTATCGCCTGGACCCAGAGTGCCGTTGTTGGCCCACCCGTTCGCGAGCATGGGGACCCAACGTCCCGTGTTGGTGGGTACGGCGTTCGTCTGGAGCGTATATGCGCCTGCATACCAAATCCTGTTCAGCAATTCATCGTTGGAATCGAAAAACCCTTGATAAGCTTCTAGGTTCGACCACGTGGGCTGGAAGCTTATCTCAAGCTGCACATCCGTGACATTGACGTAAGTGCCGCTGTCCGTGACAAGGAAAGCCGTCATATACCGAAAACCTCCTCGCATCACCTCATCTGGCATCGTGTATGTCCCTGGGCCGGTAGTGCTGATGTTGAAAAATAACGCCCCATCGCGACCAGCGAACTTCCCGTTCGATGCATCAGACCATTCACCTACCCATGTCGACGCTTCGGAAAACGCGAGGCCGATAGCACCAGTTCCATTACTGGTGTATGAGATAGAAGCGATGCCACCGACTTCAATACCGAAATCGAAAATGACATTCGTCCCGTTGCCGCGGAGGACAACGAGACGCGGATAGCTTGCTGGATGACGGTCTTTGATGGTGAAAACTGACCTTGGACGGACTGTTCGCGATGATGGAGCGTAGATGTTAGAGTTCCAAGGCCCTGGTCTATCAGTATTGCAGAGGCGAGCACGAGTTTGATATAATAGGTACCTTTAAATGCAGCTCCACTCGGTCCGCTACATTCCGTGTCCCGCCAACAGGTTGCAGCAAGAGCATCCAAAGGTATTGTCGCCAACGCAACAACGGTTCCAAAAAGTGTAATCCAACGCATGATTGCATAGACTAGAGTCGTTCTCAAGCTGCAGCAAGTCGTGCCTTCCTATTACATATTCTGGGAAGAATTTCAACACCATTCCGTCTACTATAAAGCGCTCGGCGTGCATTGCGCCGAGCCGCCCAGATGGTTTGCCGGTCCGGGTATAGATGAGGTATACGATGTCCTGGATCTTCGCTGGAATGCGGGGAAATAAGCTACGAGCTAGACGCAGTAAGCTTCGCAAACCTGGGCGCATTCGTTGGTCATAAGCTTGGGACGGAAAAGCAGTCTAAATACGCATCAGAAGGTATGGTTGAGCACTGATGGTTTGGCGATAGTATCGCGCGATGAAAAGATGGGAGCTGGAGTCATGGTGCTATTTCGAGACGACTTCAGCTGATCCTCAGTGTAGTCAAAGTGATTCAGGTGTATACAGATGTCCTTCGCGCTTGGTCGAAATTGAACTTCTTCGTTCCTTCCGTTGCCAGGGGGTCAGTAAAGGTGCCTTGGCGAGGAGGTTGGCCGCGCTGCATCCGACCTGCACAGCTAATTAAGAGAAAAGCCAGGGCGCATTATATCGCAGAAGAATAGCTTCATTATGACGCAGAATCTGAACTCATGTTGTGCATACAAATGAAGAAAGAGCGCGTTGGTCACTCACGCGCGAGATTGACGCGCCAGATCGCGCCAGCCTTTGAATTATCAAGGGAGGCTCCAGACTCTTTCCTTCCATCTACAGCCCGCTAAGACCTTCGCTATCATCACCAGAACTCAAATTCCGACTAACTCTCACTACGTCACTTTCTACATCATTTCATCGAATGCAGTCTCCAGCCAGTGCCAGAGTAGGTAGCTGCCCCGCTTACGTCATTGCGGCTCGCGTTGTTGATCGCAACGCGAGTCTCCTCATGCTACCCCTCATGCAGCCCCAAGCGACCACTACTTCCGAATCATCACTCTTCCCATCTTGGAAAGATAATCCTGAGCCGCATAGTATAGCCTCAAGCCTAGTTGCCGGACTTGCATAGACCTAGAAGTTAAGAGCCGGGACACGTCGACGCGTCAACTCCCGACTGATAAACCGTGAGCACATAGAACGTCATCCCTGATATCATGTACCATGATGCCGCTAATGCAACAATTCTTTGACAAATACCCGCATCCGGATGCAGAACACAGCTGCCGATACGCTGGGATTTCCAGACCGCATGAGGGAGGGACCACGCTAAATGGGTGGAGGGGCGGGGAATCCAGCTAAGTAACGAGCGCTGGGTCCAAGGTAGGCTTTATATAAATGTCTACCGCTTCTCGAATACCTTGTTGTCCATCCTCCCTTACATACTTTGACATCTAAACTCGATACGGATATTCAAAGAGACCAATCAGATCATCATGACGGACTTCAAGGGACATTGCCATTGCAAGCAGACCGAGTGGACTGCCACCCTGCAGCAAGATCAGCAGGCACACATCCTATGGTGAGTAGTGTCGTTCTGTTCCTATAACAACAATTCGTTGCAGGATCAAGCTAACAATCGACTAGCCACTGCAACACTTGCAAAGAGCTCTCCGGCTCCACGTACACGCTCAATCAGATCATCCCCAAGAAAGCCCTCAAAATCACCAAGGGCGATGATCTAGGCAAATACACATACAAGGGTGACTCTGGAAAGAGCGTTCATTGCGTATGTCGTCCCTTCGACTATCCATGAAAGTTGATAAAAGAGCATCTACTAATGATTCCTCAGTTCTACTGCAAGAACTGCACCTCACACGTGTACCACGAGCAAGAGGCGCTCGGCCCCGACAGCATTGTCCTAAGGACGGGATTGTTGGACGAAGGTGTCAAGAACTTCAAGCCTGGTGCGGAGATCTTTGGCAAGGACCGCTTGTCGTGGGAGAAGGAGGTTGCGCAGACGTTTGAGGTTATGCCGCCGTCATAGACAGACATATTCGATAGCATACATATACGAATATCTCATCATAGTCATCAAGGCTTTCAGAATGTTCGCCACAATTGGAACGAGGTGTCTTTCGCCGTGAGACATGCCATTCTAGATTGGATGCGTATATAGCATTATATCTTATCCCAACTTAGTCAGAAAGCGGCGGGAAACTCCTCAAGAAGTGGCTCGGGCACTCGTAGCCGCCCGGGTTGTGGTCCAAGTACAATTGGTGGTACTGTTCCGCATCCCACCATTTCCCTGCAGGCAGGATCTCTGTTGCGACGCTTCCCTTCCACCACTGCTTGTTCACCTTGTCGGTAACGTCTCGCGCAATCTTCTCCTGCTCGGCATCGTGGTAAAAGATGGCGGATCGGTATTGGCTGCCAACGTCTGGACCTTGGCGGTTGGAGGTGGTGGGATCGTGCATCTTGTAGAAGAATTCGAGGAGGGAACGGTAGGTTACTTTTTCGGGATCGTAGACGACTTGGAGGGCTTCGGCATCTGGTTTACTAGTCAGCTAATGGCCAGAGATCACGTCACGCCTCGTGGCGCAACAAAAGCGAGGAATACGTACGACCAGTGCGTCCGCTGCATACCGCCCTGTACCCTGGGTTGTCTGTGTCACCACCGATATATCCAACCCTCGCATCGTACAAGCCCTTTCCCTTGTACTCTCTCCGGTACATGTGCTCGACACCCCAGAAACATCCGGCAGCGACAGTGGCGGTTTGCGCACCCGAAGGCACGTTCATGGGTTGCGCGGGCGCATTCGACATACTGCTGAAGGGGCGAAAGAATTTAGTCAGAAAGGACATGGACAAGTAAGACGTGACGACCAAAAGGAAGAGCGTGAGGAGCTTCAGTTTGGTGGTGGTGATGTATATGTTGTAAGAAGGAGAGAATTACTTTGCTGCTGAGTTATTATGTATCGCAAGTTTGCCGCTTCGATTGGGAAAAGGGCAATGGACCGCGGCGATGATGCCATCATTTGGCGTGACAAATCGAAGGGTCCACGGCCACGCTTCAGCCACATGGGTGGCGGCGGGGTCGCTCCTTCGCGAAGATAGGAACGCCCGACTCGTGCATCTTACTGATCACATATTCCCACACATTACGGACCTCCTAAACAGCAGTGCACGCTGTCTTTGACGCGTCGCAGTGTTGTTTTATCTGACGAGATTCGCGTGCCGCCGTTCTGCCCGCCCCGCTACGTGTCTTTACCCGGACAAGTCGCGGCCGATGTCTGCAGCCTTCCGGCATCAACACAGGCTCGAATCCTCCAGCACTGCTCTTTGCATGATGTCCTGCTTCTTTGCTACTTGATCCATGGCCGTAGCATTGCCTATTCGAAGGACATGCTCTTGGAAATTTCGGCTATGTCCCAGCGGACCCATCCTGCGCTCTCGGAAAAACACTGCGCAGTAGGCTGGAGTGAAACGGGACGTATAAGCGGCGGGACCGGGACGTGGATTCTATTACACTCGCGTTAGTGTCATGGAGAGGTCTCTTCGTTCCCTCTCTTGTAGTACCGAACGCCTTCTCAGCTCATAGTTGCACGTACAGTTTTACGAATGTCGTGTATCAAGCATACACAGTCAGCTTGCTGTTTTCGCACTTGACTGACAGTCCCATAGTCCTACCCTCCAAGTCAGGTCCGGCTGACAGCTTTGGTCGAATCACCCCGACACGATGCGCGTAATCAATTCTCAATCTATTTCGCCTGAAAGCCTTGCACCGGCTACAACCCGCGTTGCTGAACCGGCAGTAGTTGAATCTAGGCTCATACGATGCATCCTTGGACGTGGCGTCGCTCCGAGTCACCACGTGCGTCGAACACTGCTTGATGCATGCACTTGACTAACTCTTCTAAGATTATTTTTAGATGCATCTCTAGACCTCACATCTGCAAGGGCAGCAAATCGCGTTCGCTAAAATTGATCAAGGCAGGGCCTCGAGCACCGATGGAACGACAAGCTTTAATATAAGGTTAATCTACGCGCCAAGAACTCCTCACTTCTCCAGATCTTTTGAATTGGACGTCCACGATACCCTCGCAGTACTATGCCGCTCCTTCCAGGCAGGGAAACTATTTTCAGTCTTCGCTTCCGCACATGTTCCGTTGCTGCATTACATGCAGGATCTATAGATGAAAGACAATATCCGGATGAGCTTGTTTGCTTCTCGGTCAGCTTCGTGGACTGTCTATACCCAGCATCCAGGCCCGGCGTTTCTATTCTGAGTTCTGCACCCCAGGCAAATACGCTCGACTCATCTCGCTTTCATATCTACATCCACTGGGCTGGCCAAAACCTATGCGAGGAAACGGCTCAAACTCACAGCGACTCGCTTGTGCAAAAAGACTTTGGTACCCTAGCCGTCATCTGATATGAAATGGCCACGGTATACCTCGTTGACCGCGAGTCTGGGTTTCGTATTCGCTATCAAGAGAATCTACATGCCCACGCGACGGATGTGCTTTTACTTTCAGCAGCTGTACCGCCGGCACTCGGTTTCCGGGTAGGTTGCATACGGCGCCACCAAGTTGTGCAAGATTTCGTGATACTCGCAT